GTAGTAGTTGTGTTCACTGCTGTCGTGGTGTAGTAGTTGTGTTCACAGCTGTCTTGGTGTAGTAGTTGTGTTCACTGCTGTCGTGGTGTAGTAGTCGTGTTCACAGCTGTCTTGGTGTAGTAGTCGTGTTCACTGCTGTCTTGGTGTAGTAGTTTTGTTCACGGCTGTCTTGGTGTAGTAGTTGTGTTCACAACTGTCTTGGTGTAGTAGTCGTGTTCACTGCTGTCTTGGTGTAGTAGTTTTGTTCACGGCTGTCTTGGTGTAGTAGTCGTGTTCACAGCTGTCGTGTTCACAGCTGTCTTGGTGTAGTAGTCGTGTTCACTGCTGTCTTGGTGTAGTAGTTGTGTTCACGGCTGTCTTGGTGTAGTAGTCGTGTTCACAGCTGTCGTGGTGTAGTAGTTGTGTTCACAACTGTCTTGGTGTAGTAGTTGTGTTCACGGCTGTCTTGGTGTAGTAGTTGTGTTCACGGCTGTCTTGGTGTAGTAGTTGTGTTCACAACTGTCTTGGTGTAGTAGTCGTGTTCACAGCTGTCTTGGTGTAGTAGTCGTGTTCACAGCTGTCTTGGTGTAGTAGTCGTGTTCACGGCTGTCTTGGTGTAGTAGTTGTGTTCACTGCTGTCTTGGTGTAGTAGTCGTGTTCACTGCTGTCTTGGTGTAGTAGTCGTGTTCACAGCTGTCTTGGTGTAGTAGTTGTGTTCACTGCTGTCTTGGTGTAGTAGTTGTGTTCACGGCTGTCTTGGTGTAGTAGTTGTGTTCACAGCTGTCTTGGTGTAGTAGTCGTGTTCACAGCTGTCTTGGTGTAGTAGTTGTGTTCACTGCTGTCTTGGTGTAGTAGTCGTGTTCACAGCTGTCTTGGTGTAGTAGTTGTGTTCACTGCTGTCTTGGTGTAGTAGTTGTGTTCACGGCTGTCTTGGTGTAGTAGTTGTGTTCACGGCTGTCTTGGTGTAGTAGTTGTGTTCACAACTGGCTTGGTGTAGTAGTCGTGTTCACAGCTGTCTTGGTGTAGTAGTCGTGTTCACAGCTGTCTTGGTGTAGTAGTCGTGTTCACAGCTGTCTTGGTGTAGTAGTTGTGTTCACTGCTGTCTTGGTGTAGTAGTCGTGTTCACTGCTGTCTTGGTGTAGTAGTCGTGTTCACAACTGTCTTGGTGTAGTAGTCGTGTTCACTGCTGTCTTGGTGTAGTAGTTGTGTTCACTGCTGTCTTGGTGTAGTAGTTGTGTTCACTGCTGTCTTGGTGTAGTAGTCGTGTTCACTGCTGTCTTGGTGTAGTAGTCGTGTTCACAACTGTCTTGGTGTAGTAGTCGTGTTCACAGCTGTCTTGGTGTAGTAGTCGTGTTCACTGCTGTCTTGGTGTAGTAGTCGTGTTCACAGCTGTCTTGGTGTAGTAGTTGTGTTCACAACTGTCTTGGTGTAGTAGTCGTGTTCACAACTGTCTTGGTGTAGTAGTCGTGTTCACAGCTGTCTTGGTGTAGTAGTCGTGTTCACAACTGTCTTGGTGTAGTAGTTGTGTTCACGGCTGTCTTGGTGTAGTAGTCGTGTTCACAGCTGTCTTGGTGTAGTAGTTGTGTTCACTGCTGTCTTGGTGTAGTAGTCGTGTTCACAGCTGTCTTGGTGTAGTAGTCGTGTTCACAACTGTCTTGGTGTAGTAGTCGTGTTCACTGCTGTCTTGGTGTAGTAGTTGTGTTCACTGCTGTCTTGGTGTAGTAGTTGTGTTCACTGCTGTCTTGGTGTAGTAGTCGTGTTCACTGCTGTCTTGGTGTAGTAGTCGTGTTCACAACTGTCTTGGTGTAGTAGTCGTGTTCACAGCTGTCTTGGTGTAGTAGTCGTGTTCACTGCTGTCTTGGTGTAGTAGTCGTGTTCACAGCTGTCTTGGTGTAGTAGTTGTGTTCACAACTGTCTTGGTGTAGTAGTCGTGTTCACAACTGTCTTGGTGTAGTAGTCGTGTTCACTGCTGTCTTGGTGTAGTAGTCGTGTTCACTGCTGTCTTGGTGTAGTAGTCGTGTTCACTGCTGTCTTGGTGTAGTAGTTGTGTTCACAGCTGTCTTGGTGTAGTAGTTGTGTTCACAACTGTCTTGGTGTAGTAGTCGTGTTCACAGCTGTCGTGGTGTAGTAGTTGTGTTCACAACTGTCTTGGTGTAGTAGTCGTGTTCACAGCTGTCTTGGTGTAGTAGTCGTGTTCACAGCTGTCTTGGTGTAGTAGTCGTGTTCACTGCTGTCTTGGTGTAGTAGTCGTGTTCACAGCTGTCTTGGTGTAGTAGTCGTGTTCACAGCTTTCTTGGTGTAGTAGTCGTGTTCACAGCTGTCTTGGTGTAGTAGTCGTGTTCACTGCTGTCTTGGTGTAGTAGTCGTGTTCACAGCTGTCTTGGTGTAGTAGTCGTGTTCACTGCTGTCTTGGTGTAGTAGTTGTGTTCACAGCTGTCTTGGTGTAGTAGTTGTGTTCACGGCTGTCTTGGTGTAGTAGTCGTGTTCACTGCTGTCTTGGTGTAGTAGTCGTGTTCACAGCTGTCTTGGTGTAGTAGTTGTGTTCACTGCTGTCTTGGTGTAGTAGTCGTGTTCACAGCTGTCTTGGTGTAGTAGTTGTGGTCACTGCTGTCTTGGTGTAGTAGTCGTGTTCACTGCTGTCTTGGTGTAGTAGTCGTGTTCACGGCTGTCTTGGTGTAGTAGTTGTGTTCATAGCTGCCTTGGGACAGGCTGCAAGCTGCTTGCTTGCACCCATCCGACTCATATTCTTAGGTTTTTTCGGTAAAGTCACGTAGGTAAAAAATTAAAATTAATAAAAGTAAAATAAAAAATACGTTTATTAATAATAAAAAATACTTTTATTCATTTTAATTTTTTACCTACGTGACTTTACCGAAAAAACCTAAGAATATGAATCCTTGCAGTCACGAAAGCTTCAAATCTAGAACCCATCCGACTGTTGACTCCAGTCGAGGCTGCAAACAGCTGCGTGCGGCTGCGATAATTACGCCATTCGCTTTTTCTTTAATTACTAATTCAAGCTTTAAGCGGTTGGTGTATTAATTTTTGTGTTTACAGAAGAGATGGTGCTTTTGGGGAGTGTGGATGGAGTGAGGGGTGGTGAGCTGCCAGGCAATATACGCTGGCGTTGTCCACGAATGCCTTCCAATTCATCCACGTCAGCGGCGTATTTCTTGTACATGACCGGCCTCTTTGGCTGCTTGGGGACTCTTCATTTTCCAAGAGTTTGCATGGCACTCTAGTCACTGTACGAGAGTGTCAAAGTGGTTTTGTGGCCAGTAGGTTTGCGGCCGTGTGGATTTTATCAAAATAGCAGATCGCACGGCATTGCCTGTTAACTGCAGATAAGTGTATGGAATAATATATAATGGACTGGTTTTAGGCTGCACTTTGCGTAAGCGTATGCTCTTTCTTTAATGCCTCTTCTGAAAAGATTGTTAAGAGTGTCAAAGAAAAAAATGTGTGACATTTTATTTTCACACCTCCAGTCAGCTCACACGTGTTGTGGACTTACAAAATACACCATACCTAAGACGGGTGCTTTAAAATGTTTCCGTGAGATACTAAAGTGGATGAACACCAACATAATCAAAAGCAACACCCTCGTGACATAGGGAATTACGTTCATTCAATATTACTTGTAGTTATTTGTCAACATCTTAAACGTGGCTGGCTGATGTATGATTTAGCCTCATCTTTTGAGGGAAGTTTTTGTCACTGAATAAGTCGTTGAGCGTCTGCTCACTGAGCAGCCAAGGAGAGGTCAAGAGCAGATGACGACTCGAGGTCATCGTTTCACCAGAGCCAGGAGGCACATTGGGTCCTCGACTCACTAAAGTAGTGGTTTGTGGATGGAGGAAGGGCCCTGTCACAATGACAACTCTGACCGACTGGCCACATACCCAGGAGCGCATAGTTTGGTGCACTGTCCATCCGCGTGTGTTGCAAGGCGAGTGCAAAACAAATTATTATCAGGCTGCAGCGCCTTCCCAAAATAACAAGCAAAGAGTCACGCGGTCGTCGTTATTTAGGGCGGCCGCTATCTTGCCCGTGCTGGTGGCTGTGGGACGCAGCTGTTAACGAGGCCACACCGCTTTGCTGCGACGTGTGCACACGGGCGTTTCCGCCGGCTCTCGATTTACACCTCGAGCTGCTCCTGCGTCGAGCTGCCTTCGATTTCCTCGTCTGATGGGATGCCAGCAGCCTGCCGTTCAGACGCGTAACTCCCGCTGGATGTTTAACGATGGACAGCAACTGTTCTCATAGGGACGCAAAGGAGCTGCCGGAATGCTGCTGTGACACCGACAGGCATGAGATGGTTCTTGTTTGAATGTGACGCAGGTTGTGTTTCTGTGTTATGATGTATGACCTTTTTCCTGGTGTCGTACTTGTGTTCAGTTCCTTGTTAAGCCTCGGCTACACTAATCATGAACGGTTGCAAATACTCCGTCTTCATTCGTCATTTCTGGTTAATAGTTTTTGTGGCTGTTCAGCGTTGCCCTATATTAATACAGTACACGGCACAGTTGGAATGGCACGTTATGTAACTGTTGTTTTTTTAAAATATAGAGTTATGCCAAGGCAATGTGCAATTTGGTCATGAACCATATTCAATTATGCAGTGTTTTTCAACGTCTAACATTTGAGGGCAGACTAAATAAAGGCCCATTTAGGCTTCATTGAATGTGTTTACTCTCAGAGGAGACTATGTGGAATTACATTCCAGAGAAGAGACACTTCACAATGACAATTCATATTCAGGTGCTTTTCAGTTTGGAATTACCTTGAAGTTTCACAAACACGAACAATACAAATAATAGGCTGCATTCTGCAATGTCCTCCATCTCGAGCCGTTTCTTATGCTACCAAGGCCACATGTGTGCAGCAGTGGCCCTGGTCGATTCTGAAGTGAGGTCACCTCGCATGTTGTTGTAGCGCAGACGCAGGGGCTGCGTTTCTGGCTCCTGCTGATGCTTGGCGTGCGTGCGTACGTGGCTGGGCCCGGCCCATGGCCACTGCAGGGTGAAGAAGTTGAGGGACACGCTGGTGGCCGTGCAGCAGCTGGAGCGCAACATGAGCAGCCTGCGATCCTGGCTCAGCCACATCGAGGCCGAGCTGTCCCGGCCCCTCGTCTACGAGAGCTGTGAACGCCGCGAAATACAACGCCAGCTCGGGCAGCAGCAGGTCAGCCGCTTGCACGCGCGCGCGAGATACTCGCCCCCTCGCCACTCACCACCACAGCGCACCTCCGATTAGCACGGTTGGCTATGCACTGTGCGAAAGAACTTCAACATACGTACAACTTAGCACCGCCATGCGGATCCACACATGCATTTGACACCCTGGTGCTTGATTTCAGCCAGATCTTTCTGGGCCAGTGACCCAGAAAATAAATTTCCACATACAGCACACCAAATCCATAATACATCTTGCTATAGCTGTGACTAATAAATCACATGTCTACTCCAGTTCACCAATGTCCCAGAAAATACTCAATGAGAAATTAAGCCCTGGGCTTCTGTCGCATGGGCTACGATTCATACAAAGCTTTTCTTTGGGTTGGGGGGGGAGACACAGGAAGTTACTTTGTAGTGCCTCCTTCCCCATGTGCAGCAACTGCAGCGAGACATCGAGAAGCACAGCGCGGGCGTGGGCTCCGTGCTGAGCCTGTGCGAGGTGCTGCTGCACGACTGCGATGCGTGCGCCACCGAGACGGAGTGCGACTCGATCCAGCAGGCCACGCGCAACCTCGACCGCCGATGGCGAAACATCTGCACCATGTCCATGGACCGCAAGTACAAGTACGATGCAGGAGGGTGGCTGATAGGGTCTCTTGAAGAATGCTCACATCGACCTTCACCGCGGATAATCTGTAATTTGGCTCATTTAGAATCGTATACTAGGGAGGTCCATATTGCCAAACAAGGTTGTGTTGCGTATGGGAGAATTATTGTGAGAGAGGTGCTTGACTGTACCTGCATTATACCTTGCAGCTCGTACGTCTCACTGCCTTGGTTTGAGGTTCATATACCCAAGTAAACTTGAAAAACACACTTTTCTTTCATTTTGCACAAACGGAATTGTTTTCGGCAGACATGCATTTGAAAAACACAACACTTTTCCACCTGAACACGTTAGAAAGTATGCGTTTAAAAATGCACGAATGTAGCACTGATCGCAAAGCAATGCAAGTGCTGCTGCAGGTGGGCAATTGCTACCGAGGGATGGGTATGGGAAGGGAGCCCGCTTGCCCATCATGTTAGGAGAGACCCCGCAGGACTGGTGCCTGAGGGGCAAACACCTGATGATTGCAACCTTGTTCTGTGACGTAAATTTCGTCACATAATTCCCTAGAGCATCCCCACGTCCTTGCCTGCTGGCCACGCTCTATTTGGTGATGTTTTTGTCACGTGTCACAGGTGGGTGGCGCTCTTCCAAATATCCGGGGTTGGGACCACGGTTAAACGGAGTTATTCAGAAAATTATTCCAATTCTCTGGGGATACCCATGAACACACTTTGCAGATAAACGAGTGAATCAAACTCAGGTCTCTGGGATCAGAGTGAAAATCACTGTGACACTGCTCCGCACGATTAACGTTTCATTGAATTTGGAGTGTATTGTGAAGCAGTCCAGGATTTCGTGGTGGTGGTGGTGGTGGTGAAAAGTTGTAATAAAGGAGTCACTGCAACGATTTTGTCAATTCTTGCCACGTGGTGAATTGTACAGGATTGAGGAGACCTGGCACATGTGGCAGAAGTTCCAGGAGGACTACTCGCGATTCGAGGAATGGCTTCGGAAGGCCGAGAGCACGGCCGCCAGCCCCAACACTTCAGGCATCGTGTATCTCGCTGCACGGGATGAACTCAAAAAATTCGAGGTGACGCCACGTCCGTGCGTTCATTAAAATCGGTCCTGTATCAAGAGAATGCCCTCTTGAAATACGACAACAGTAACATTAACGAAATAAGAAAGAATTGCACAGATCTCCCCACATGGCAATGGTATTATCTTGATATACATGTTTTGTACGTGTAATTTTGCAGGTTAATTAAATATAACAATTTAATTCTAATTTTTATGATGAGGGAATAGATTACTCTTTCCTTAACAAAATTATATTTCTGAAGCAGGCCAAATGAACCTAAAAGTTAAGTTTTTGCTTAACGTCATATTTATCATACAAGATAAAAATTCTAAAATGTATAACAGCATCTCAATGCTCTTGAATCTTGAGACCCTAAAATATTTTCTGAGGAATGCAAAAGTCTTGCTTAAACAAAGTTACATACGTGTAGTGGGCACAAACGGACACTAAGACGTACGTTGCAACACATTTATTTAACATCAACACGTTAACACAAAGGGATAACTCCCCCTTTACAAAATATTAACCTACGGTGGTGGCCCATCGGGCTAACTACGCTAACTCTACTGAGAGTAGCTACGACGGACGGGACCCCAGCCTGGGTCCGGGTCCTGTGTTGATCTTCTCTTCTGGCGGAGAGCAGCACGCAGATTCTTCGAGATGACAACAGCGCTTAGTCCCACTGGGAGATCGGCTTTTATCCCCGTGGCGGGGCTTGCCCCACCCCTGGTCACGTCCCCCTTCTCGAACTCTCGAGAAGGGTTCCTCCTGGACACGTGGTCCCTCCCAGCCCCCCTTTTGGGGGTCCCCGGGTGAACGCCCCCAGTCACGTGTCCTCCGGGGTCAACCCGAGTGCCATGGCCTATCCACTAGGGCTGGCATTGCGCTCAGCGCAGGGTGTCCCTGGTGGCTGGCAGTCCGTGCACCTCGAGCACCGCTAGGCCCGGTACTGCATCCGCCTTTGGTGGCGTCCTTGATAGCAGTACGTTGTGTGGCATGCCTTTGGTAGGCTGGCCACACACACAGCGACATCCAACGATGTCGCTACATAAGGGTCATAAGCAGCCGTGTAGCATCAGGGGGTCTGGATATGGCTGAGCCCTCCATGCAGAAGACTCAAGCTCCTGATAAATTATAAACGTTTGTTTACCATTACCTTCATTTGTGTATACCCCCCCCAACAGGGTCATGCTACAGGGTTGAATAATTATTATCTGAATATATCTTGTTTAAAACAAAGTTTAATCATTGATGATGATGATGATAATAATTTCAACAATTGTTTCCCTTCAGAGACAGTAGTTTATGCCGTATTAACGATGAATTTCCACCGCTAGCTCAGGACGTGCCAATGGAGATGACACACCGCACTGACAATATAACTCGTACGTGGCTGGTGCATCTCGTGCGCCTGGCAGGGGTTCCAGCGGCAGGTGCACGAGAGCCTCACACAGCTAGAGCTCATCAACAAGCAGTACCGGCGGCTGGCGCGAGAGAGCCGTACGGACAGCACCTCGCGCCTACGCCACATGGTGCTGGATGGGAACCAGCGCTGGGACGAGCTACAGAAGCGCGTCGCCATCATCCTGCGCAGGCTGCGGGTGAGGCCTAGTCTGTCAGGGCGTCGACGTGCGAACTCCTTGTGCGCCGTGGTGGAGAGGCACGGCTATGAATGCGTAACGAGCAGAGAGGAAGTCAGTTTTTAACCATACACTTGAACCTGTCGAAGCTGAACTCGAATTGATTTCCTTTGGTTGTAATGACCTGTTCATCAACATATCTGAGGTGGTTCAAACCTTCTCCATTTTGGTTCACACCTTTATGTTTCCAATCCCGTTTTCGGAAGAAAACAAAACATCTTGTTGCTGTAAATAATTTTGGTGAAAATGTTTTTTATTGTCTAAAACCTTTGTGTCACGCTTATTTTGTTACTTCGTGCAATTTCAGTATCACATTTTATTCAAATATTTGTTTGTAAGTTTTTTCATTTAGGCTTTAGTTGGCAACATCATGGATGAACACATCAATTTCCAATGGGTTAGGTTCCTTTTAATAGTCAACAAATGCGAGGCATAATGTTATTTGATATTAATTAGTTTCTGCGCAATTACTTAAACATAATAGTGTCGGCCAAATATGTCACTCTGCTTGTGTCGATAACAGTTGAGCTGCTTTAAAAAAAATGATTTGTGAATGTTGCTTCCATAGACACAGGCATCACCACTCCACGCTCCACTGTGTATAATTACACTTGTGATTCAAAGGCCCAAATGTTGTGCAATGGCACCGTGACATTTGAAAATGCAGAAATAACATTTGTGTCTATTGAATTCAAATGAGTTGTTGTTGCTTTGGCTTGATCAAAATCCTAGTTAAAGAAAACATGTAAGGTAGTATTCTTCCTCAGGTTTGTGATTAAAACTGTAAGTTAAAAGATACAAATACCATGAGGACGTGATGTTTTTTATGTAACTGGATAAACGAAGAGGAGTTTTAATTTGCGGCTAAACTACGTTGTTTTTTATACTGCAACGTCAACCCCAGTGACATCATGGAGAGCGAGAAACCATGACTCTGGTATATCATCTTGGTTCTTCATTTCCTTGGCAGCACTTCATTGGGCAGCGCGAGGAGTTTGAGGCGTCGCGCGAGAGCGTGCTGGTGTGGCTCACCGAGATGGACTTGCAGCTCACCAACGTGGAGCACTTCTCTGAGTGTAGCACCCCAGCCAAGATCCGGCAGCTCCAGGTGAGCAGGCTCACTTTCTGAAGGGTCCAGATTCAAATCCCAGCTGAGGGTCAACTATTGTCCATTTGGGGTTTATAGAATAAGTGCCACTGAGTAAGAAGCCAACGGTGGTCTTCCTGTAAAGAGGCTGGCTCACACAATGGAAATATCGAATTTTCACCACTCGCTCCAGGCCACGTATAGAGATGAGTAGCTCTCCGATGTTTCCGAGAGCCTCTTTAGGAACTGAAATCTGAAAAAGAGAGATAAATATCACACATTATGCTGAACAAGAGCACAACCGAAAAAAAACCACAACGAAGAGCTTACACAACGCAACCTCAAAAACCCACGTGGCGGTAAAACATGGATGAGTACTGGCCCATTGCACATTTGAGCAGAGAGAGACTCCTTGTATCACGACCGCAGGGTCTTATCATGGATGGTAAGCGTGTGAGATTTTCCGTGCAGGCTTTCCAGAAGGAGATTGCGCTGAACCGCTGCAAGCTGGGCCGGCTTGAGGACATGGGCCAGCGACTGATGGCGCGCAGCGAGCCGGGTGACAGCGCCGTCGTGGAGGACGAGCTGGAGGAGTTGCGCCGCTACTGCGCCGAGGTGTTCGGCCGGGTGGAGCGCTACCTGCGCAAGTTGACCACCACCGCCATGGTCAGCGCCATCAAAGGGCAGCACGGCACTGACGTGCGCGCGCACGGCAGCATGCAGCTCTGTACACTCGGTGGTTTATTTCAGGAGTAAACCAAAGCAGGAACACGTGGGTACAATGAATTTGACAGATATGAGCTCCTTGATGAATGTAATTAATATTATTATTAAATATGGGCTTAAACAGGACAGGTCCATGTTGTAACATTGTTAACATTTGAAATGTATATAGTGGTTGAATGTGATTGTTTCTCAATATAATTTGCATTAGGCTGGCAAGGCACCTGCATGATTGTTCAATGTGTGGCTGCAGTCTGTTTGAAAGGGAGAATGCATTTTGTGTCTACAGTCCATTATGTGTGAGAATAAGGCCACTTTCTAACAGGTCCAAAACACTAATAAAAATAAAAATGAGCCAAATATCCCAATGCAGGATCCCCCTAAAGCGTCATGAGACTGAGGACGGCTTACCTGGCTAAATAATTGTATAATTCTTTTTTTTTTATTAGATATGCTCATATCTTCATAGCAATAGCTTCAGTCTTCTGTTAACCAAAATGCACAAATAAAGTGGACAACTACAGCATTTGTCTTTGCGTGCTGTCGCCTATAGGCAGCAGAAGAGACTGTGGAGGAGCTGGGGGAAGTGGGGGAGCCGTACTCCATGTCCTGGTATGAAGATGAGCCATCTTCTGCATCCCGTAGCCCTGGCTCACCGGCGCAGCACGCACAAGGAGTAGATGCGGGGGCCCTGCTGGGTGACAACGGGGAGCGCTTTGCCGGCGAGTCTTCACACTCTCCACTCAGGAGCTACGGGGATCACTTGTACCCCGACAGCTCACACAGCCTTCTGCCATTAAGACTCAGAGACCCCTCAGTCCCTGAGAGCTCGCACAGCCTGTCGCAGTCGAGACTGGAGCGCGAGAGGGGCCCTTCGGGACGGGATACACCGGCCAGCATCGACTCGCTACCCCTGGAGTGGGACAACTATGACATCGGCAAGGAGTTGGATGCTTCCACCTCCATGGCGGAGCGGCTGCTGTTGGACGAGCGTCTGGCGGGCGGCGAGGATGAGGAGAACGAGGTGTCGGACTACTACTCGCGCAGCGGCCTCTCGGGTGAGACTGTGTGAGCGTCCGAGCTTTGTGTTCCAGGCATCGATGCATATAAGTCATTCTGAGAAGCGTTGGTTCACATTTGACTGCTCTAGAGTCTGCATCACTTTATTATAAGAAGCATGCATGCATGCTGCAACTGCTTGCCATGGACATGAAACATACACTTCATTTATGCGGTTTGAGTACTTACAAAATGGCATGCTAATACAGTTTTTCCCCCTCATATTTATAACATCAAATAAAAAGTTTACTTGGCCTCTTAGTGACAGTTCTGTTTTTATTATAGGCGGTTTTAAATATGAAACAGATTTTATTCCCGAAGTGTTTACACTATTTGAATACTGCTTATGTTTTTGCAGATGTAGTCATTCCTGAAAGCCCTGAGGCCTTTGTGTGGCTAACTGAGCAAATGCTAAAAATGGCCTCTGCTATGGAGCACAGATACACATGTTAGCGTGCATTTTGATTATCCGCTTGACCAAATGCTCTTCAACTCAGTCCTTAGACCAGTTGCAGCTAACCCTACTTGTCAGCCTGGCTTTTTTTATTTAAGTCTTTATCAAGACTTAAGGTATGACGCACCTTTTTAAAATTGTACAATAAATAATTTATCTGACTTGTTAGCAAAGGGTTTGGTTTATTAATATCTCATATATGCTTAAATAATGCAAATTACTCATGAAATTGATAAAAACTTGTGATCAAGAGCCTCCTGAAATTAAATCTGGAAACAAAATGTAGTTACTCTGGGGTGAACAGTTGTTTTAAGTTCCATGCACTTGATAACACCCCAAGGAATTACATTAATTGGGACGGACTGCATTAGAAGTTATGAACGCAGCATCGTGATGGCTGCTAAGGACTGGTGTTTTAGAGCCAGTGCTCTAGGTGCTAGAAAATCATCTCTAACTGTGTGTCCTGATCTCTAACAGTGTGTCTGCATGCGAAACTGTGAAATTATCTTGAATGGCACGCCTGTAAAACCATCCACATTTCTACGCTTTTAGCCATTTCAATTGCGAGAACTTCAACTGTACGTTAAATGTCACATTCAGAGTTGGCAGCCCTTTGGGGAATATGAAAAGGAATTTGACTCGGTGGAAATTGATGCAGTCATCCAAGCTCTCACAATCCAAAAGTCCCATATGTATATACAGTATAAATAATAACAACCATGAACAATAAAGTTAACAGCCACAGTGGGATTGCATAAAAAATATATAACAGTACTCTACATATTAAAATGAGGGATCACACAAGGAGACCCACTTTTTACCAAAGGTATTCACAAAAACAGAAGATGTTTTATGAAAAGAAAAAAAAATCGAGAAATTAAGGGATAAACATAAATAGGAGGAAATATCGAGTGTCCTCAAATTTTCTGAATGCATCGTCATCGTAAAAACACTTGGAAGTAAAATAATATAAAGGCTGTGAAGTTGGTGCTCAAGAGAAACATCAGCAAAACAAATTGTCACGTACAACAAGTTTATTAAACAATTGAAGACATCTGTTGCAGGGACACAGCCAAAAAACACATGAGAGTGTGTATATGTAGGGAAATTATTTCAGGGAGACTGGGATAAAACTGATTAAATAATAAGGTGGACGAGAGCAGGCTGGAGTGCATTTGTATTAAGAACTTGAAAATAAAAGTAATTTATCATTGAACCTAACAAATACTGTGGTTTTTTCGGTAAAGTCACATAGGCACGTAAATTATTAATAGATCACGACGTTTCGATCGCAACACAAGCGCCCGTCTTCAGGTGAGAGAGAGAAAGCTACTGAAACAATGTCTTATGTAGGCTTGAGATGGGTCCAGCCTCAGGGTAAGAGGACGGGGCTAGAGATGATCTGCCTGAAGCTGTGGAAGTGGCTATTGTATTGTGAGTGGTTAGCATATCAATGCACGAGCTTAGTATGCCGAAGCATCGGTGACTTGCCTAGTATGTCGTAGCATCGGTGACTGAGCGAGAAGGACATCCAGCCCGTCAATACAAAGACATCCAACCTAATAATGCAACTCAGAGAGTCAGCTAAAATCACAGGAAGGATGGAAACATCACAGCAAGTTAAGACTTTACTTGGTTAATCACGTCCTTCCAATGATTGCTCAATTTGTACCCATCTTCTCAGTTGAAGTTGTGTCTGTGTTTATATATCTGGATGGCGTCATGAACAAATCTCTGATGATAGCCAGTGGGTTTGCAGAGTACTTTCATCTTGGAAAAATCAATTTCGTGTGAGCCCACTGCGTTAAAACAATGATCCGCAATGGCAGGGGTATTGGTCCTACCGTGCTTCAGATCTGCCTTGTGTTCGCGGACACGGTCCGAGACATGTTGTTTCGAATTCTTAGGTTTTTTCGGTAAAGTCACGTAGGTGACACAAGTCTCCGTCATCTGATGACGGAGACTTGTGTTGCCTCCGAAACGTCGTGATTTTTGTTTTATTTTATTTTCATTAATTTTTATGTTTTACCTACGTGACTTTACCGAAAAAACCTAAGAATATGAATCCTTGCAGTCACGAAAGCTTCAAATCTAGAATGTTGTTTCGATTCCCCAATGTAACTGCTACCGCAGCCACAACTTAGTTTGTAGACACCAGGAAATTGCATGTCAGGAATCACATCCTTTGCAGATGGGATCAAATCACGGATTTTGTGTACTGTGTTGAAACGAACCTGGATCTTGTGTTTGTTTAAGATTTTGGAAATCTTTTTGGTAACCCCTGCTATGTATGGCAAGGTAATGGGTTTGATTTGGTCCTCAGACGGTTGTTTTCCCATGGCTGGGGAGACAGCTTTGCGGATTGTACAGTCAGAATATCCATTCATCCTGAGGGCTTAGTGTACGTGCTCCAGCTCACTGGCTAGGTGGTGCTGGTCGGAGATGCAATAGGCCCTATGGTGTAGTGTTTTGATGAGGGAATTCTTCTGGGCTGGATGGTGGTGGGAGTCAGGATTTAGATAGGCATCCGTGTGGGTGGCTTTCCTGTAGACAGAATGTCCCAACGAGCCATCAGGTCTCTTCTCAATCAAAACATCCAGGAATGGTAGCTTGCCATCCTTTTTCACTGCCATGGTGAATTTGATGGCTGTGTGTCTGGAATTGATGTATATCCACAGCCTTGATTTATATTCACAGCCTTACGATATATGGGTGAGCTGCTTGTAATCCAAGTTGGGATGCGTGTTGAGCATTTTTTCTTTCACGCTGTCAGCACACATTACTGCGGGCATCTTCAGGAGCTGAACTTGCTACTGTAATCTTAGCCAGTGTTTAATACTTGTGTACTCAATGACACATGTTTTTTGGCTTAGATTGCGTATAAATATATAAATGTGTCGTTAAACTCGCCACCACCCGACACAGCAAATTAGTAAGGTTTGTCACGTAAACAGAACATGCCAATTCGTTACTTGTACAGCACACCGGTGTGTTGGAGAGCCAAGCCACAACATTTACAATCTGAGTACGACGTTTTGCCAGTGATTACAACTAGCTTCATCAGGTGACAGCCGATACTTTGTGCACTGTTTGCCTTGCAGTCTGTTGACTCATCAATACTTAGCAACCATTTTGTCCTGGGCACCATTGAAAAGGAGCTTCCTATGCTTAATGGGACGTAGCCAAAATTAACAGACCGACTGACTAGACATACAGAATATAAATAAAATATGAAAACTTGGCGAGATGACCTAAGTAATCTCCTGAAGGTGCACACGGCAAAGCGAGGCAAAGGCTTGAGAGAAGAAATGCTCAAAACGCAGCCCAAACTGAAGACCACTGCTTAGATTAACAAAGTACTAACTTACTACTGACTATTAACTATGTTTATTTTACCAAGTAAGGCCCACTGAGCTATTAGCTTTTTTTCAGAAGCGATCTGACCATCACAAATGATATCTCAACGAAGTGGCTCATCACGTGGAAATTTATAGCAGCCAAATACTCTAAATGCCTGATTCTAAATGTGAAGGGAAAAACTGGAGGACCCGAAGAAAAATCCACGCGACCACGGGGAGAATATCCAAACTCCAAATATACAGGTGTCAGGGTCGGGCTCAAACCAACGTCCTCCTGATAAGCCACTTCATTGAGCTATCATTTTTGGCCAGGTTGCTTCTGAAAAATAAACTAATCGCTCAGTGGGCTTTACCTGGTAAAAAAAAATGTATTTTAGTGATTTGCTTACCTTTCCTCTACTTTAAATTCCTATCGTGTTGTTGTATTGTTTGCTGTTGTAACGTTCTGACCCACATTACTGGACATCTGTGAAAAAGAGGTTTATAGTTAATCAGATTCATCCAGCATAAATACATTTTCCGATTCGTAAACCAGGCAAGGTAGTTAACATCTCGCCACCATGGGCTTGGGCAGGACACGTCGCAGGAATTGATGATGGCCGGTGGTCGAGACTAACCCTAAAGTGGCACACTAAGGAGGGGAATGCCCGAGAGAATATTCAATGTGGAGATTCAGATGTGGGATCGGCTTGTGTGCGTGAGACTGCAATGGAAGCCGACAGCTTGGGGAGGTCTTTATCCAACAGTGGATAGATCATAGCTGATGATGATTCGCAGTCTAGGTATAAACTGGCCATGTGTGTATAGCATTCAAGGTATGCGCTGCTCCTTTCTAGTATGAAACAGTTGTACGCAATAACATTTGTGTGTGTTTAGTATGTATATGTACCTCTTCGTTTTGATAGTTTTAACTAAAGTATTTAAAAATATCTCCATGTTGGACATGTGACAAAGCTAACTTATTTCACATCAGTGCATTCAGGCTGTGGAAAGTTAGTGTTTGCTGCCATGTGTTGTGTTTGGGGTCTGATGTGGTCGAGAGACATTTCTGTCATGCCTTTGCGTGTTTGTTTTTTTCACATGGGTTTGTGTAGTGTGTGTTTGTATTTTTGTCTGTGTGGTAGACTCAGCCTCAGATGAGTACCTGGTGCGTTGCATAAACATCGCCACTCGGGAGACAAAGTGGGCCACCTACTGCCTCGTGTGCTGTGTCGGCCTTTATGGGTGCTCGCTAGCAGCACTTGCCCCAAAAGTCTGTTTTGGCTATATGGGGGAACTTGTCTTGTATGTGTGGTGGGGAGCAGTAGTGTAGTAGTTAGCGTGCTACACAATGAATACAGTGACCCGAGTTTGATTCCCGCTCACGGCCAACACCAGTGACAATTATCTGAACTGGTCCTGAGCACCCCCTAGGTCGACTCAGCCTCAAATGAGTATGTGGTGCAAACATTTCCCGTAGAGAGACAAAGGTGGTCGGCTGTAGTGCTGGCTACCCACCCCCTTGTGTACCGTTCTGGCCTTCATCGGTGCTCGCTAACAGCACTTTCCCCAAAGGTCTATTGAGGCTATACGGGAGATCTTTGTACAGGGGCTCACTGTCTTTGGTGTACATACATATGTTTGTGCATGTTCCTTTGTGTATGTGTGTGTGTATCTATGCTTCTGCTGGTGTTTATATATTTGTGTACATCTGTGTGTATATCTGTGTGTCTGTGCGCATGTGTATTTGTGTACATTTCTGTGTGTGCAGCCATATGTGCCTATGTGGTGCTTGTATGTATGTTTGTATATGTATACATGAATCAGTCGAGCGGCATTATCTTTTCATCGGCTGCATAACACTGTGTGGAAGCTACCTGGTCTGTCACACCACACAAAGCTTCGGGGCTTCTTGGCCATGGTCATGTTCTCCCTTCTGTATGCTTGCGAAATGTGGACCCCGCTAATGGAACATCTTCGCCGGTTATAAACATTTGGGCTGGCCTGCCTACGATTCATCCTGGGTTTAACCAGGCTGGATTGTGTGATGAACTCACAAATCCTTGAAAGATCTGGACAAAGTCCCATCGGTGTGCTCCTCCGGCAGGCAAGGCTGCGTTGGCTAGGCCATGTAGCCCGCATGTCCAGCCACTGCATGCCTAAAAAGCTTTTGTTCAGCCGGATAGAGGGGACTAAATGGGCATGGCATGGGCAAGAGAAGAGATGCAGTGATGTGGTACAGGAGGACGTGGAGCTGAGTGGACTTGCCGATGACTGGTACTAACGGTGTCAAGATTGGCCTCTGTGGAGGAGGCTCGTGAAAGATGCTACTAGGCAGTTGGAGGCAGTCACCCTCCAGCACCAACGGAGGGCAGAGGAGTGACGCTCACAACAACGAGCAGAGCACCAGGCAGCTAAAACACAGCAAGTTGGCACAGTAAGGGGCAAAGGTGGTGCATCGGCCAGTCATTTCAGTCAGTCAACCCTTGCACCTGGATCTGTCCCGTGGCCTCACAGCGGGCGTTCGACACTTCACATTGCCTTAAAGTGCACTAAGCCTGCCAAAAGCACCGTGGTCACGTCACCAGCACTTAGTGGCGAATGGCAGTTGTTGTTGTTGTACATGTATATTTTGAGAGCGGTAGTGTCGCAGTTGCATTACGAGCCTGGCAACCCGAGTTCAATTCCCGCTCGGTGATGATTATCTGAACTGGTCCTGGGCCTCCCCTAGGTCGACTCAGTCTCAAATCAGTACCTATTGCAGTGTGTAAACATCACCACTGCGGAGACAAAGGTGGCCAGGCATGGTTATGGTACCCCTTCATGTGCCGTGCCAGCTTCATTAGGCGCTCACTAACAGCATTTGCCGCAAAAGTCTGTTGAGGCTATAAGGATAATCCTTGTCTTTGTATGTGTGTGACTACACGTGTTCATGTTCACGTGTGCGCCCCTGGTGCACCTGCAGGTGATGCAGTCGGTGCCGAGTGTCCCGCACGTGATCTGGGTGACATCCTCACCGACAGCGAGCGCCAGCTACAGCGCGCCGAGCGAGCAATCGGTGGCCACGCACCAGCTGGGCACGGGCTCGACTCCGAGTACAAGGGCTATGTCAGTCTCTCTCCTCCCCACACTCAATCACTCATTCGTGACCGTGGGAATGTTACTTTCATGCACATCAATGCAGCACATCACCCACACGCATACTGTGGTGGTGGTGCTGGTGGTGGTTTCCGTGCAGGTGAAGCTGCTATCCGAATGCCAGAGCAGCATTGAGATGGTGAAGTGCGTCAGCGAGCAGCTCAGCGAGGACGACAAGATGCCAGGGCTTGACGTGATTACCACCTCTGAAAAGCAGTCCTCTGGTACCCATCTAATATCTTTTCCTTTCCGTGCTGCGTATCGCTAGGTCAAGAACGCTCGCAATTTATTGTGTTAATTTGAGAAATGCTCAAATGATATATTTACAGTCATGCTTTGCAATCACATTGCTGTATAATTAACAATCATTGTTTTCATGTTTATTTCCATATTCCTAAGTTATATTTATTTAATAATGAATTAAAGCTCTTTACAGATGACCACTTGGCATTAATGACATGATAGATACTGGGAATAACACATTTTCATTATCTCTGGCATTATCTACATCTGCTGTTTTGAGAAAAATGTGATTTTTGAAGAACGAGTGTCCTCAGGCCCCTCGCCCTCCTGTCTGCCATCTCTCGCAGGTGTAATCGAGCGCTGGGAGCTCATGGAGGCGCAAGCTCTGGGCAGGGAGCTGCGCCTGCAGCAGGACCTGCAGCAGTGGGACCAGCTCAACTCCGACGTGGAGGCTGTTTGGGACTGGCTGAGCCAGGCCGAGGATGAGCTGGGCCAGCTGCAGCGCTTGCACACCACAGCCGACATTCGGACCATCGAGGCGCGCATCCAGAAGCTCAAGGTTTGTATTCGCGATCGACATAACTGTGTGGAAGAGCATTCGAGTGATGCTTGAGCTTCGCCCCGCAACTCTGACTCATGCTAAGGACTCGCTGTACGAATTCTGCGCACGCAGTAAATCGAACATTATTTTTCGATTTAAAGCCTTCGTGACTGCAGGGATTCATCTTCTTGATTCTTTCGGTAAAGTCACGCAGAAGGGAAATAATAAATTAATAAAAATAAAACATAATTAAATACAATTCTCACAACGTTTCGGCCACAACGCAAGCAGCCGTCCTCGGGTGAAGAACAGGGCCGCTTGCGTTGTGGCCGAAACGTTGTGAGAATTTTATTTTATTATGTTTGATTTTATTATTTTATTATTTCCCTTCTACGTGACTTTACCGAAAGAACCAAGAAGATCGAACATTATTATTGTCGTCATCATCCTCATGCTGAATGCTCACCTGAGATGTCGACTCTCACGGGTGTCAAAAATCATAAGCAGCGTGGTTGCCCCTCGCAAACCACGCGATATTTACTTTCGCATGGTTTGTGTTATTCAGACATGAGTCGAGGATTACATTTCAATTTGTCTATGCACGCAGATTGTGTGACGGTGCTTTTGTCTGCTTCGTTGTGGAGTGGAAAACAACGTCTTGCGCTGCTGTCCGTATAAATGAATATTCTTAGGTTTTTTCGGTAAAGTCACGCAGGTAAAAAAAAAATATCTTGTTTTTATTTTACTTTTATTAATTTTTATTTTTTACCTACGTGACTTTACCGAAAAAACCTAAGAATATGAATCCTTGCAGTCATGAAACCTTCAAATCTAGAACGAATAAATGAAGTTTCATCATTATACATTGTTTACTATTGTTATTACTCATGTGGCTATGAAAAGCTGTTATTTTAATGAAATATGAAAAGTTTGCTTAAAGTGACATGAAATAAGCTATTTTTCAAAAATCTCATATGGCCAACACACCACGAAGGAGGTGAGGGTTAGACACACTAATGTGTTTATGTCTGGTAGCTCATGGTGCCTATACCATGGAAGAACACTGAGCCTGAAATAGCTAAGATCCTGGGTTCGCGTCCAGGCAGTCACTCGCAATTAAATCATGTTCTCAAGTGTCGCGAATTGATGGCCTCAGCATGGTCAGCAATGACTGCGCGCAAAAAACACTACGTTACATTTATTTTACTTTAGTGGCTATATTTCAGCTCTGCAGGCTAAAATAAAATAATTTAAAAACATGCAACAAACAACTTGTATAGCAGAGCATGTGAGAACGTGGACCACCACTTCGGGTAGATAAGTGGCAGTTTTTAAAAGGATATTAGAATTAATTATTCGATGGAACCTTGCATGATCGCTCTAAACATTGGGTCATGTTAAAACTACAATTGGAATTTTGGTTAAAAAAAAGCGTATCTAAAGAGAGGGTTGTGTGCCATTTCATAATCGTGTTCTGTCGTTTTGCCGTTCTTAAGTTAGCCCGAGTTTACGCGTGCGCGCGCATTGCCTTGTGCGTCGCCCTTGCAGGAGCTCCGACATGGCATGGAGACCCGCAAGGCAGTGCTGCTCTCTATCAACCTGTGCAGCGGGGAATTCACGCCGGGCAAGAGCGCCGAGGTTGGCCAGCTGCGGCAGCGCCTGCGGCACCTGAACCAGCGCTGGGAACGCGTGGCGCAGATGCTGGAGACCTGGCGGCTCTCTCTGCAAGATGCGCTCATGCACTGTCAAGTGAGTGCCGTGATAAGTGCTCTTACATAACATGCAGCGCTGTACCAACAACATATTATAAGCACTCGGGCAAGCACTTAGACAATGCATTTACACTTCCTTTTACCGCAAAATCATCCATGACCTTACAACGAGGTCCCCAAAAAGCAAAGACATTATACAAACACCTTAGAGTTCGTGTTGCCCTATCTGAGACTGCCAAAACAGTTAATTCAGACTCCTCAGGCACCAACCATCTATTATCTACCAAAAGTAATCAAAGCAACCCAGGCTGCCCAATAGTGTCAACCTGTAGTGCTACTCAGCTCATTAAAGTTATTTGGACCACACGACTCCATTCGTACATACAATAACGACCAATATTAAAGGCACCAACCGTGCCCTACAGCTCTTCAATAATCTTAGATATCACGGGTCCTCAACATTTGGCTTTCACAAGAGACGTAATTTCCTTGTCCCCTACCATTCTCAATAATGATGACTTATAAGCACTTACACATTTCTTCAACACATCAATCGATACACAGATAAAAACACCCAAGAATACAGGTGTTGTAAGTATGCATGTTGAACTTTTTTCGCACCGTACGTAGCCAACCATGCTAATCGTCGGTGCGGGGGAAAGACAACAAACTAAACACAAAAAGCAGTTCTCAATAAATAATGTGTCATGGTTAATTAAGTACTTTTTTACGCATTTTCCACAAATTGTACCAATTGTTTTATTACGTGCTATCGTGCAAAGGAAAGAAATGCAGCGTGTGAGTTGAATGTTTTAAAGTACCCTCGATACAGTCGGCAGAGTTAAAAAACATTTTTGAGTTTCTGAAATTGCGAGAGCAGTATTTATGCATATTTGACTCTCCACACATGTTTTGCAGGATTTTCACGAGATGAGCCATGGTCTCTTGGTCTGGCTGGAGAATCTGGACCGAAAGAGGAATGAGATCCGCCCCATCAGCCCAAGTCTTGACCTCGAGACTCTACAGGATCATCACAAAATGCTCATGGTATGCTTACCCCTGAGCATCATCAACAGCAGCAGCAGCCACACCTCCACAAATAGAGCGATGTATGATCGCGAATAGGTTCCATCTCGGGACCAGAAACATGGGTGGATTATCTACCGACGTTTCACTTCGTGTTCCTGAAGAAGCTGCGAGCAGGAGGAGTGAAAACGCCAAATGTTATTCCAAACAACAAGCGGTACAACTTGAAAACGCATCAGAGCGTTATGGTCTGTTGTTACCAGGAAAATAATGATCCATCAATTTATTATTTAAATATGTTATTTCGGTCGTGATGCATTCATAAGATTCAGCATGGATTGCGAGTAACTTGGTGTGCGAGTGTTTTGCAAGACGAGCAAAACTTTTAAATAAATATTAATTTGATAAACGAGCGAGGTCTTGCAATACGAGTAGTACGTGCATACGCTTTGTCTGCCGAGCATCACGTGATCACAACTGATATTCGAGTGCTTTGATATACGAGTGCTTTGGATTACAAACACGTTTCCGGAACGAATTATGCTCGCAATCCAAGGTTTTACTGTATTTCCAATAATTTACATATGGGCAAGACAGTACAGACAGAACATACAAATACAAATGAAACGGTACAAATGAGACAAACAAAGAATGGATTTTTATATTTAATTGAAAAGTCAAATTGTGACATTACAAATCAAGTGGGCTGGGAGTGAATACCCCCAGCGGTTGCTTCCTGTGCACTTTCATTCATGAGACCTCTGGTGCTTGTTTTGACAGCGGTCCTTGACCCAGTAGTTTCTATTTTCTGTTTACAATACAGCAAGTGAAGCGTGAACTGCAGGCCACCCAGGAGAAGGTGGCCTCCCTGCAGGACATGTCGAGCCATCTTCTCGTGAACGCCGAGGGTCAGAACTGCTTGGAGGCCGAGGAGAAGGTGCACGTCATAGCCAACCGCCTTAAGCACCTCCTCAATGAGGCCGACCATGACATCCGAGTGGTGGAGCGCTACATGAGGACCTCCACCGACGAGCTGGTAAGAAATTGACCCCTCCCAACAGAATGAAATCACGATCCTAGTTTGTTTGGCCAATATAAGCATCATCATTATCGGTCATGATCTATCCACTGCTACAGGAAGGCCTCCTCAATAGCATCCACATCCCTCATGATCTCACGTTGCCAAAATCCATCTTCTACACATGAGCTGATATCATCGCTCGATCTCAGCGGTGGTCGTCCTCTCAAGTGTGTTCCCTCCTTTGGTAGCCATTCCATCGCCAGTCTCAACCATTGCCCAGATTCCCTCCTCGCGGTGTTTCCTGTGCTAGCCCCCACTTACTTGCTTTATTTTAATGGACATAAAGTTCCCCAATCCGTGTGTTCCTCCGGCTCTCATTTTAATTACCAAGCATGCACCTCTCCATGCTTCTTTGCCCACTTTTAATATTTTGTTATAATCTCTTTGTCAGTGTCCATGTGTCCACTCCATATATCATAGGAGGTAATATGCACGGATTGAAAACCTTCTTCTGTAGGCACATGGGTGTTTTGATTTCCATTGTCAAGCACTCCGATGTAATGACATCGTCAAACAGTCCCCAATGGAAGAATGTGTTTAATTTCGTAGGACTCATCGTATGGTTCACCAGACGAAGAATTGAACTGTCCGATGGCCCTGCCATCATCTCAACAGCAGCAGAGACGGGTAACAATGTCCACACTCTGCTCCATCCCACGTGCATGGCATAGTCTAACGTACATTGGTGACTACTAATTGTAAACCTGTGCACAGTTTATATGGAATTTAACGTGTGCTGTGTAACTGTTTTTGCGTGGTGGAGATAATAACTTACGTGTGTTACAATTAATCCTTTTTGTCAGTGTGATAAATGTGGCACTAAATTATTTAATATTTAAATGGAGTATAGTCGTATTCAGGTCCTGTATCGGACACAATTGTAGTCATATTTTAAAAAATAAAAACCACGAAAGCCATTCGTTTTTCAGTGCTGATAATGAGGTGTATTGGTATGCAACATGTACGACTCTAAACCTTTAATGCTTTTTTGTTGTTTTTACAGATTTTCTAGTTTAAAAGTTTTTCCATTTACATAACTTCACATTGTCACGTGTGCACTCCGCTGTCTTTTTGGATTTAATTTCATCTTTGTGTGGTTCAGTTGGTGCCACCACAACTCTCTGGGTCACTGTGGAGCTGGACTCTTCATCCGCATAAGTTTTTTTTAATACCTGTTTTCTCTTGTACTCAACGTACGTTTTTGTTTATTTTCCTGATCCATTCACATGCAGCTCCCAGGCAAAGATAGTCTTTCTCAATCTGGAGCAACCAGTCAAGAGCTCAGGTATACAGCTTAGAATTGCCATGCCCCTTTTTGCCCCTCTTTCCTTTATAGATGATGGAACAGGCAAACCGATTTAGATGTAATACACATAGCACAATCATCTCCGTATTTTGGGTTGTGGAATCTCATCCTATATCGATCCCACAGTCTGCATAAATCACTGTCAGTGGCACTGTTGGTTTCTAACAATCATTACACGTTTTTTTTACCCATTCTAGATTTGAAGCTTTTACCCATGTTGATTGCATATGCAGTCCCGTCCCACTTTCTTTAATGCAGTTTCACACGGTGGCTTAATTCCACTCATTATCAGGCACGTGTTAAAAAAAAGGCTCTCATTGATCCAAACGTAAAACAAATGTTAAGTTTAATTTCAATTTTATTAAACGGTCAAGCAAATAACCTTTCCTGTATTGGCGAACAAACCGCTCGGATCGAGTCATAACGGGAGCTTCCATCATCTTTCAAAGTGCTTAAGTGGCTTTCACAATCTGTGGGTTACGGCCCCGGCGTTACTGCACCCTGCGCCGGCGTCTGCACGCACAGCGGGGGGGGGGGGGGGGGGGTGACCGACCCACCCCTGTGCCTGCAGAGTCTTGCAGCAGCAGCAGCAGCGACGAAGCGAGCCCGACCCCTCTCCCGTAAAACTTACGCGGCTTTCCTGTTTCTTTCCTGCTGACACTGATGTGGCCTGCAAGCAGCAGCGGTTTGTGGAGTCAGGAATGCCACTTCTTTTCGTGACATCGCTGTAATGCCCTCTGAGCTCTCGAGATCAAATGGCAGCAGCTGAAGAGGGGGACTGTCTTTGTGCGCACCTCCCGACTAACCTTCTTGCAGGCAGCCTGCCCTGCTTGAGCGGCCTGCTTGCACACACAACCAACTGTGCTGATCCTCACCTTTCAATGATCAATGTGTATAATGTGCTGTGCTTCACTTATGCTGAAATAAATATACAAAAGCTTTTAATTACTAATATAGGATGCTTGAATGATGCTGCAGCTGGGCTGGCATGGACTTCAAAGAGCTTATGCATGCGATTTAATTTTTCCGGTGTATGCCAATAACATTTTTATACTCCTCTGCATACAGTACTTGGTGGAATGTGTATTTGTGTACCATATATCTTATTAGTGTACCATACACTGATTATTTTATGATTTTATCCAGTTATATAATACCATTTTGTGGGTGCTTATGCAAAAATGTCTACAGCAGGTTACGATTAAAGTGACTGCATGGTGTGTAATTCCGTGCAGTAGTGCCAGATGTAATACAGTGGAGCAATTTATTTCTTAATTTTCGGAGAGGCATAATAATTCCAGTGTGGTGGTGTTTTTTCCCCCCCTCCCTTCTAACACGATATCAGATCTGAATCGTTTACTGTCTTCCCCACCCATAGCCAAAGTTTGCCAGGGGTGCGTGGCCATTCTGGTGAGCGGGGCCCTATGGGAGCGGGCGAGCAACGCGGCGGGCAGCGCGGCACGGAGCGCTCGCTGCTCCGGCGCGTGTTCCGTGCGGCCCTACCGCTGCACCTCTTCATGCTGCTGCTGCTGGGCCTCGCATGCCTCGTGCCCATCTCCGAGCACGACCTCAGCTGCACGCTCACAAACAACTTTGCTCGCTCCTTCCACCCCATGCTCCGCTACACCAACGGACCGCCACCCATATGAGCGCCGCCAGATTGGCCCCGCTCCGAGTCAGTCACGGATTGTGAATGTCTGTGAAATAATAATCATGGAATGATCTCAGAGATTGTAAGCCAACTCTGGCGAGAACTGCGGCATGAAAAGAAAATACCTTAAGTAGTCTGAAATTGTCATAATTTATTTAACTATGAATGGGAATTTCGTACAGAGAATCTGGAATGTATGAAGAGTTATTTTTCACGCTGAATATTCTTATACCACTGTAATATCTTTGGCCTCCGCCCACTCTGCCATGTCGCTGCCCTGCAAAGCAGACTTGGGTGCATGAAGAGAAAGCTTGAATAGCAAGTGAAAACGACACTGTACAGTTCTTCATAGCCACTTTAGACATAAAACAGACGTGTAATAGCATGTGCAACTCACGTCCAGTATTCTGTTAATGGGCTGTATTACGCTTACTGTAATATTCAGTGCCTCTTAACTATAATATCTAGTCACTGAAAAATACAAGGTTTGTGGCAATTACTTTAAGAACCATATGACGAGAGTAATAACGAACACTGTAATTCCACAATTTCATAATAGCACTCTTGCGAAATGTAAAAAATCCCACAGAACCAGCTCCTGTTATCCGTGCCCTAAAAAGGCTGCGTGCATAGGTTCATTGGTAACGTGCGTCAAGTGAGTGAACAAAGAATGGCGACCACGGACGCGTTGAGATGATGACAAATTAGGAGTGAATGCGTGTGCCGGCGTATATAAGCGATGGTGTCCGTGCCCTCAGGCCCTGTAGAAGTGTGGCCGGAGTGGCGCACGGCAGCAAACGCTTGCACTGCACCGATACCCGCCGGCTCTCACGCCACTGCCGTGAGAGCAGCCTGCTGTGTGAGTTATACCTCAAGTTGTGCTTCTTTCTGTAAATATTTTTTGTTTGTACGTGCCTACTCTACTAATGATTACTTCTGCATTCTGTTCGATTATGGTTAATGTTTGCTCTTAGAGTTGGACGCCAAAGGGGCATTCATGTTTGTGTCCCTGCCAGCGGCAGAAGACACCATATGTACAGTAACATGAGTGTGGATGCAGAGTTATGTGAATGGAAGAAAGTTTGTAAATGTTACAATGTCTGAAAATCTTGGTGTAAAGTAATTTTAATAGTGAACTCGGGGAGGATATAGTTGTATTTTTCAAGGAAGGAAATTTTTAAGACACGTATAATGTGCTTCCACCTTAAGCTGTATTTATGGTTGATAGAGTTTGACACAATTTTACTTGCAGCGTGAAAACACTTTGTTTTGATTCCATAACTTTATTTGCGTTTTTGTTTTGCCAAAAAAAATATTGTAAGATGTGTACTGTATTTGTTTAAGAAATTTACATTTGTATTAAATAGCAACAGTATTTCAAAGAGAAATGGTCTTTTGATGTTATGCTTGAATTTTAATGTGCTCGAATGTAATGTATGTCTTGTTGGCGGACGGACTGTCATGCCACAAACATTGCCTCAATTTGTTCAGCCACTCAGAGGGGGAATAGCAAATGTCAGGCCAATACACGCAGCTTGCTCTAACCGGGCTCACGAGGACAGGCATCACGTTGAAGCCCTTACATTCTCATTTGACAGTTGGAGTGGCCATTCACTAAGCCTTGACATACAAGTCGAACCACCCACACGTTGGAGACAGGGACCTTGAGGTTTAAAGTGATTTGTGCACCTTATAGAAGTAATTATAGGAGTGTAACGAGCTCACGATTAACCAACTGAAATTTGATTTACCAGCGTAAGATTTATGCATAGAATTGGGTGTGTAACACTCCATGGTTTTTGTTTATAATTCATAAATAGTATGGTACGTGAACATACAGATGCATATGAACATACAGATGATCGCGATTGAGTGATGTAAATTCTCATGTTCCAGAATAGCTGAAATAGCTGAAATTTGGCAATAGTACGGCACTAGTATTGTCATGTTTGATCTTGATATTTAGAAAAATATGAAGATTAAACACTTAGCATTTGGGCCTCTAAAAGTTATTGCCCGAGGGCTGGATTCAAGCATTAGAGCAGGCTCAACCCAATGTAGAAAGCGGATTTAAGCCTCGTACTACTCAAAATGTGATTCCAATCGTGTGTAAACCACGAAATCTGCTTCCTGTTGAGGGTGAAGCTTAAACCAATATTTCTGATACTGCGTTGTATTTGTGTGTCGCTTGAGTTGTATCAAACAGTTGTCCTACGGAGGGCTGCGCCCACCACCATTGACTTGGGGCCTCCGATGCCGTTGAGGGCCGCCCAACATTTGACTTTTTCTTGTAATTTAGTGCATAAAGGCAGCTCTGCCACTTCACAAATTACATGCGACGGTTTGCAAAACAACGCACGTGGGCAGGGTTTGTGTTTATTAACGTGTGTGAACGTGGCCAAAACGGTGAACAAACTTCAGCGCGGTACTGAGTTTTAGAAGTCTGCACCGTGCATGAATGAGGCACGTGTTCCGAGTTGGGATTGTGTCCACTTACCCAGGACATAGGCAGAGCGACGTTTGTACTTTGTAGTGTAAGTCGCCTGCCTTTGTACTGGAGAGCACTCGGTTGCCGATAACATGACATAATGCATCTCACTGCCGTTACATGAGAGTATTGGGGACAGTACTGCACTACACCACTGTGACAACACTTAAAATGCTGCACCGTTATGCAATGGAAATCTTACTTGCAAATAATACGACCATCCACAACCATGCTCATTTTACTGTGCCACGCACCCCTTTTTCATGAAAATGACACCGTACAGCTTCGGACAATACAGACTCGATGCTACTAAATTACGCAATATTCCGTGGCTAACTCTGCATACTTCAACCAGCACAATACCGTACGATACTACATAACCTTATCGCTGCTGTACACTCCGTGCGTTTGTTTGGTGTGGCCGTCTTTGTGAGGAGTACGCCAGGTTTGCCGTACACGTGAAGGGTGCCAGGTATCTAAGCGGTGCCCACTTTAGCTCACTTGACCTGGGCTCCCTCCAGCATATCGGTGAGCAGCGTGCGTAGTGGGATCATGTGTTTCATCTTCATGATGGTCAGATGTTGGATCCCCTTGTTACTGTTGGGCACAAAGAACAAAACACAGATGCTAATTGTGAGAGAGCAGCCACTTTCTCCTTGTCTGACACACGGCACTGCATTGACACTATCTCGTCGTTGTGTCATTGATTTAGGGCTTGTGTCAAACTAGAGCCTACATCTGGCCATACACCAGAATTGATTGAAGCAAGCTTTTCTGCTGATGAGACGCTGTGAAAACCGGTCCAGAGTTGACTCATTCTGAATTTACTAGCCTTTTGCCCGTCCAAGGACGGGTGTATTGCAGTAAATCTGAAACTTGCAAGCGAAAAGCAGACCGCGACGTGATATGCATTGCATCAATTCGTGTGCAATTTGTAAGGGCGCGGTGACACAGACTTATTTCATTTTAAGGTTATAATCCCTTGTCCATCATGACATCCTTTTTACTTCTATGTCTCAACAGCGTGACGGAGATCACGTGACGTGAGGGTTCTGCCTTTGTAGTGAGGGTTGTGAGTTGACGCCGAGGAGGGGGGAGGAGGCGGCTTGGACCCCCATGTGGAGTGACGTCAGCCGCTAATTATTATGAATGAGGTGGGGGGTGTCCATTTGGAGGATGTCACCTTATGATTATTAATGAGGCGGGCTGTTCGATGTGGAGTGACGTCACCTGCTCATGATTATTAATGAGGTGGGGGGGATCCATGTGGAGAACGTAACCTGTTCATGATTATTAATTAGGGGGGCTGGTCGACGTGGAGTGACGTCACGAGCGTTAAGGACAGACATTCCTGGGTGATTATAGTTTCGATTTAAAGCTTTCGTGACTGCAGGGATTCATCTTCTTGGTTATTTCGGTAAAGTCACGTAGAAGGGAAATAATAAAATAATAAAAATAAAACATAATAAAATAATTCTCACGACGTTTCGGCCACAACGCAAGCAGCCGTCCTGACTTTACCGAAAGAACCAAGAAGGTGATTATAGTTGGTATGCTGCTGAAATTATGCACTCCCCCCAGAAGGCCATTGGGCCAATGGGTTGTGTTAAGACGACGATTTCTTCTTTACATGGAGAAACAGGTATGAACGAGACATTGTCCACTCATCTATTGTGATCTAGAGCTGATCAGGAAAGCCTTTGACGGGCCAGGATAGTCAAGGTCTGTACACAACAGCAAAACCAAAGTGGAAGTGAAATGTAACAGTATACATATGAAACATCAAAATTAGACTGCAATAAAAAATTAACTGGAGCTTGATAATTGTTTTATTTTTACCATTTATCTGGCAACAAAACTGACACCTTTTTTTACAAGGAGTCATGTTTGCATTGACCACAATACCTGCGGTCGAAATGCAAACAAAAAAAACACAACTCTGATAATGTATGCACTGTCCTTGAAATTGATTGGTCCACACCCGAGACAGCTTTTCTTAGAGCCTAGTCTCCACATGGTGTTGGACCAGATGACGCCAAAAGGCGCACTCCTTGTAAAAAAAAAGTGTCAGTTTTGTTGCCAGATAAAAGGGTAAAAAAAACAATGATCATATTTTGTTACTGGCAAAGGAGGTTCCAATGGTGTAACTGGAGCTTATTAGGGACACATTGAAAGATTTATGTTGGTATGCCTAACAATAGCCACCATCACTTTAAAGTTGAACCAATGTATTCCATGTCTCAATAAATGAAGCCACTGTGATGGTAGTTGCACACAAACACGAATAAAATAAATCCCTCATCACAATAACTTAATTAAAATAGTGCGTCCAAAAAGAATCATAGCATACTGTACAAAGCAACCCTCATAACATGACCATAAAATACAAAAACAAAAATGTTTCATAATAAAGTAGTATGGCAAGAAAACAAAACATAAACACAGCTTTGGCAGATGTAATGCCTTACAAATTACACACACCCCAAGCCATCACAACCACTGCAAACCCCCACGCTGTTGGTGATTGCACTGCAGTGTGCAACGAGATATGAATACAATACATCCCTACATGTTGTGCAGTGGGGTGGATATAAATCGGGGCCAAGGAGTGATGATTAGAATTGAGGTAGGAGGGCAGAGAGGTATGGAATTTTGGGGAGAATGTTATTCTGGAAGTCGAGAGTCAATGGCAGAGGAGAGAATGAAGGACTTAAGTTTGCGGCTGCGTTAGAGAGGGGAGGAGGAAATCAGCAGCGTGGACATCAGAGACAGCTAAGGGGAAGGAGCGACCTACATTTCGAGTTAAAGCTTTCGTGACTGCAGGGATTAATCTTCTTGGTTCTTTCGGTAAAGTCACGTAGAAGGGAAATAATAAAATAATAAAAATAAAACATACTAAAATAAAAAATTCTCACGACGTTTCGGCCACAACGCAATCTGAGGACGGCTGCTTACGACGTTGTGGCCGAAACGTGGTGAGAATTTTTATTTTATTATATTTTATTTTTATTATTTAATATTTCCCTTCTACGTGACTTTACCGAAAGAACCAAGAAGATGAGCGACCTACAGTTTGGAGGTTGATTTTGTATTCCGTCAAAAGGCTGCTCGAGTGAAGTGGCGTTCATCATTAACACTGTTAGAGGGAACGGAGAGACTGACTACGAGTTGAAGATGACACTTTACTCTTGCTCACAGCACCTTAAATGTCCAGTGGAGATGGCTGAGTGACTCAAGAGTAAGAGCATTGAGCCAGCAAAACTGAGATTCTGGGTTTGAATCGAGTGTTTAAACTGCTGGTGATTAAACTGGGTTGTAAAATGTAGCGAGTTGGTGAGCTCAATGCAGTCACGAAAAGAAAGAACATTAAATGTAGTTGTTCACTGAATTTCGCTAATATTCCAGCTCTAAGAATTAAAATAATACATCAGTTTTCCCACATCACAATCTCTGCAGCAGGCCATGATCGAAACAAGAGGTAGATTAACAAAAAATAGCACTTGAAAGTATTCGGAGGTTCAGAGCTACGAAATCTCCTTCTGCCGGCTGTTCTCTAACAAAAGTGGTATGTTTACTCTTTGGTTTTTTTCAGTAAAGTCACGTAGGTAAAAAATCAAATCAAATAAATGAAAACAATTAAATTTAATCACGACGTTTCGGGCACAACACAAGCGTCCTTCTTCAGGTGGGGACAATGTAGCGAAAGCACAACCGCTTAAGTGTGAATCCTTGCAGTCACGAAAGCTTCAAATCTAGAAAAAGTGGTATGTTTAACACGTAGGCTTTCGCGACCAAGAATTTGTATGCACTGTTCTGCGAGAGTTTCTAGAGGACACTTTGTCTCAAAGTCACGACACCAACAGCACAGTTGGCTTCAAAATAGAAAAAAAAATTGTCAACCTCTTAAAGCTGGAATCGATATACGAACAAGTTTGTCCACGTGAATCAGGGTGCACTCACGAGGCTCTGTAGCTGATCTGGTGGATGTGGGAGAGAAGCATGAGCAGCCGCGTTAACCGGTGGAACTGCTGCCCCTCCGACAGACAGCTGTGCTCCAAGAAACTGACCAGCGCGTTGCTGACAGTGTCCATTATCTTGCAGACCGCCTTGATTGCATCTGGCTGCTCGGTCAACATCCAGTCTGAGCACAGACCTGAACAAAGCAGAGCTGTTGTCAACGGGGGCTAGAGCAGCATCATGCATTCACAATGTGTGGCTCTGTAATCCAGTGAGTATTTCTGCGAGGCTGTATCAGCCATTAGCAAAGGCCCACAATGTGCAGGAAGGGCTGCTTTTTTAATACGTAAAGAAAAAAAGTCGAAACATCTTCATACTAAAAATTATAATAGGACAGTGCTCATCACCATTGATGGCTCCAAGCAAAGGATGGAAATTCCACATCCCCCTGGCATGGACCAAGATACAATGCATTCAGTAGTGTAGTTGTAGTAGGGCCCTCCTTTCCAAGCATCACTTCTCAAGTTCGTATAACCTTACTCAACTAAAAAAAGCATATCAACTCTTATATATGACACTTTCACTTGCGCTGTTTGTTGCTGACTGCTTGGCATTGTGGACCTTTGAGCCCGTGCTCAGCAACTGAAAAAGTGGGTAAACAAGGCCATATTCCCCCAAATGAGAAGTAAATAAATCCGATTTACCTGGAATTAATTTCCCCTTAAACAATGAGAAACTCATCAGAGAGATTGTGTGCAAGGTGGAAGCAAATAATAGTAATGGTAATACACGCAAAAAGTTATTGAGACCGGAAAAGATGCGATTGACCACTGGATGAGTCCTGCCACCATGCCTTGCAAGTCACATGACATCACCTCCTCCGAACTTTAGTTTTCTGTCCAATGGCAGGACTTTGGCAACACCATACTTTATTTCCATGTGCTATGCACACTGCTGTGTTTTAAACCACCAGTTCATGTTTGCCCTTGACAGCACGGCTGAACGCATTCTATTGTGTTTACCGGAAGCGAAGGCCGACCGATAAACATACCAACATTGAGGAGGACCATAGCCTTGAGACAGGTGTACTCCTCCATCCGAAAGCACAGCTCACGGAAATGGGTCACGATAGCCAGCAGCTGGTCGAAGATTTCCATGGTGCCTTCCATACGGCTGCCGTCAGCCCTGTTTGGATTCATAGTAGACAAGTGAAACAAAGAAAACATTTAAAACATGTATTTAGAGTTTACTTAGCAAATTCCGTATTAAAAATGTAACTGCATTGTGTGTAGAATATACAAAATATGACATGTGCTTATTTTATTCTCAGGTTTTAGTTGCGTTAAACTTCACATATACTGTTGTGCAATACTGCATTTTGTAAGAATGTCATGATAGGATCAGGTGCAATTGCCTTGTAAACACAAGGTCCGAAGCAAAGACCAGAGTGTCCTGTTGTTCCATGGATCTCCAAATGAGTCCAGTGATGAGTACTTCGAGCCAGGAGTTCTCCAGGAGCTGCGTCTTAACTGGCAGATCCAGCTCCATGAATCCTTCAGGGAAGAGTGGGGCCCAAAACCATCAGCAGTAGCGTTCACTGGCTGGGTGCGAACAGTGATTTATTTCACTGCTACCACCCTCTTCACTGTTGCTTCTACACATTATGGCTTTTTACGGAACCGCCAAGTCACAAGGCAGATAGTTAATTCATGAGCAGTGTGTTGCGTTCATAATTTTTCACACAAAATAATACACATATGCAAGTCCGTGGCTTTTTTATTTTTAACAACAAGAAAATCTCCACATTGTATAGTGTACTAGTGGTTCAACTACGATTAGCATGTGGAAGTAATTATGGTGTAAACAATTTAAAAAAAGAAACAAACCCAGCAGGCGCTTTACAGGCACAGTAGTAAAGTGTGGCCAAATTAACTAACGATTGCACAGGCTGCAAAATTCCGTGCCTCACCAGGAATCTTCTTGGCCCAGGAGACGATGTGTACCATCTCCTTGGTGGCCAAGTCAGTGAACAAGGTCATCATGGAGGCCTCGGTCAGTGGCTCGCCCAGGGATCGCATACACAGCAACTTGGGGGGCTCAGCCTCCAGGAGGATGTGGATGATGCCCATGCCCTCCACGTGTGCATGAGGCACGGCTCCTCCAAACGACCTGACGCCACCCCTCCGAGCATCACTGTTGAAGCCTCTGTACCTTAGCAATGAGCAATCGTTGTTCACTCTCCCTCTGTGGCTCCTCCAGTGACCTTTGCGATCTGCTTACGGTGAACACAAGGTAAACTGGCCAAGTTTCGTATTGTATAAATGTATAAATGCATAAACAGATGAAAGTCTGTCCCATTACATAACATATTAAAGGGTTTTTTCTATTCATTGGCTAACATGCCTTCCAGAATAGTGTTTTATAGCAGCATCAGTAATGAGTTATGCAATCAAACTCCTTTGTTGGTTCAGAATAAACCTTGTCCACATTATATAATATTTCAGGTCAAAGGGAACACCAATGTAATACAATACAATGCATGTATATGCGACCACATCTCAAAACGCTGTAAACTACACCAACAGCGCATTTATTATATACCGCGATGCAGTTATAGGCAAAGGTAAAAAAGAAGGTTTTGAACATGAATTCGAATGGTGGAAGTAAGACGACAGAGTGGATGACTGGGAGGAGGTAGTTGCAGAATATGGGAGCAAGCAGATAATAATGACCTACTTGTTGAAAGTTGACTGGGTGCTTCAATGGAAAGCCTTGGTTGCTGGGGAGGAGAGTCTGCTGTTGGGAGTTAAGTGAGATGAGAAGGGAGAGACAGGCAGGGGCTAGTCTATGAGAATCTTGATAATGGTGAGTTTGATGTTAAAATTTATCCTGGATTGGATTCGAGTGATTTGGGTATTAAGGAGAGGTATTGATTACTTGTGCAGTTGAAAATTCTGGCAACGCCATTTTGGATCACCTGAAACTTGGAGATGAGGGATTTGGAGAGGCCGTAGAGGTGAGAGTTGCAATAGTCGAGCCGGAGTGTGATGAAGGCATGGATGAGAGGCTCAGCTGCAGCAGCAGCAGCAGCTGGGGTAAGAAAATGGCATATGCGGTCGATGTTGCCAAGATGGAAGTATGAGATCCCGTAGCATTGAGATATGTGGAAAGAGAATGAAAGCTTGGGATCATTGACAATGGCAAGGTTTCACACATTCTGCCAGCGTGATGTCATCGATTAGCAGCTAAATGATGTCTTGGTTAAAATAAGCAACAGACGAAAACATTACAGCTTTCCTTTGCTTCCCTCAATGTTATATAATTTCTAATTAGTTGGTGATGCTGCATTGGCAGTGCTGCACAAGCACTATTAACAAACAAAAAAACAACAAGAATTGTCAGTAACACTGCTTTAAAAGGAAAAAAATATATTATGTTCTATAGGCAGATAGTCCATAGGTGTCCACTGCAGATTTCATAATTTGTTTCCAATTTCCTCTGCCTTGTGCCAAGATGCTCACGAAGTGCCACATCTTTCTGGCACCAACCTCGTATGTAGTCAAGCCATTCTCTGTTAGGTCTTCTTCTACTTCCGGTTCCTTCAATTTTTCCCAACAGCACACTTTTTTTATTTCCCTGTTGTTGTCCATCCTACTTACATGTACGTGTGTCCAAATAGTGCCAGTTTCCTTCTCATCACTGCCTGCATCATCAGTCATCAGGTTGTCTTCTTCTATGTGCAACCTTTTCTTACGTCTACGTTGGTCACTCTTTGGGTCCAGGTTAGATGCGGCAGTATCCTTCTGTAGCAATGCATTTCGAGTGCTAATATTTTATATCTGTCAGTCTTTTTAAATGCCTAAGTCTCGCAAACATACAGAGCTCTACTTTTGCCTTTACGATCCTCGCTCTTATGTCTGTCGTACAGTTCTTGTCCCATGTCAGTAGACTTCCCAAGTACACATATTCCTTTACATTCGCAATCTTGATGCTTTCTGTTATTACTTCTTTCTCAATGTCTTCCCATCCAAACACCATAATTTTGTCTTTTAGACGTTAATCCTCAGTCCTGCATCCTTTCCTGACTTATTCAGCATATGACCATAGCCACTTCAGCACGCTCGCCGTGGAGGCTGCTCACCGATCTTACATGAACATGCTAATTTTTACCTGGCAGCCCTTTAATTGGTGAAAAATCCACCACCGTCGCGGTCGCCGCCCACCACCTACATTAACATTAGCTGCCCCGCCCATGCTGCTGACATTTGGGCTTCACCCGTTTCAAACCTTTATAAATAGTTTGCCTTTAGAAGCTAACCCCCTTTTCCTGAAGACGACCGCTTGCGTTGCGATCGAAACGTCGTAGTTTTTTGTTATTTTCTTTGCACCTATCTACGTGACTTTACCGAAAGAGGCCAAGAATATGAATTCCTGCAGTCACAAAAGCTTTAAGTCAAGATTTCGCCTGTCGGTGTTTGGGCAGAAGTTGCATTCCTAATTCGGATATAAGAAAAAAATGCTGTTTCTATGTTTATTGTCAGTCAAATATGATTTCCTTAATTTACATATGATTAATATAATTTGATATTAAAATAGTGTTATATTAATTATTTAAGTACGCATTGCTTCCTTTATGCAACATTATCAGGGAGTGTAGGAAATGTAGGAGGCACTACAGATGTTTTGGGCAGATGTTTGTTGTTAAATATAAAAATGTTTCCTGTTAAATGTTTGGTAAATCATATGTATTGTTCAATGTTCTTAGATATGATAAGCGGCTGTAATCATAATTGAGATTTGGGTGGACTCAATGCTGAGGAGCTGAGGTGTTGTGTGACGTGGAGGGTGACAAGGATGTGTCTAGTTATTGTTGCATATACACAAATGCTCCTCGGAAGAACATTTTTAAATAAATCATTTACGTTTCACAAACCTCGAGCGCCCATCTGTAGTGGAGTCGCCAAATTCTCAGAAGGACAAAACACTACGTACAGTATCTACTCTATTATTGTTGATAATAGCTGTATTGTTATTGTTGACTATTTATCCTAACTGCCCCTTCCTGGAGAGGGGCATGGCGGGCCAACCACGCTTTGGTTTGTTTATTTTTGGTAGAAAATAGATGTTTGGTGTCTGAGGAGTTTGAATTGACGGTATTGCCAGTCTCAGGTAGGGCACACTTACTAATAAGTGGTTGCATAATGTCTTTGACTACTTATTGGGACTTAGCTTCGAGGTCTTTGTCGACTTTGCTGTAAAGGAAATTACAGGCTGTTGTCTGACTCGTTCCTCTTTGTAAAAGATAGGTGTTATTTAAAATTGCATTACTTTAGCACAACAATGCTCATTTACTGAGCCATGTTACATGCCAGGTGTTTACCATGACTGGCGTTTTCTTCAAGTTGCTTTAGTGATTGAATTACCATGCAAAGTAAAATCCTGTCTCTCGAACTAAGCATATCACTGTGCTCATCTATATTGGTACTATAGTATTCCAAAGCCACCAATGCAAACTGCAGTGTTGTAAATTGCATCATACAGTGTCGTACAATGGAGGGCCACTGGCACTTATGTTATGATGAACTCTGAGCTGAAACCCAACTGGAATCTAAGTCATGGTCTTCAAACAGCGAGGTGGCTCTGTGCGCACGGCATCACCTCACCAAATGTCTCCCTTAAGGGAAGAATACATAATAACACCGCAGAAAACGTCTAACTAGACTTCAGGACACTCCGTCCGTAGCCAACACACTAAACACTTCAAAATCAACTATATGATTACTAAAAATATAAAACCAATTAAGAAAGTAACTGCAATTTTAAGATCAGCTTAACAATGCATTGTACACTGTAATTCCTGAAGTACAGCGCAGCAGAGACTTGCAATTTGAAAACTATTGAGAGAAAGCGAATGAAGAGAATGAGCCATGAATGACGCCTAAATAGGTAATGTCCTATTTAATTAACTGTAGCTCATTGAGTCCTGCTCTGGGATATTTTAGGATGACTTCTAGGCACTTCTCCAGCCTGTGTTTTTAATAGTCTACTACTTACTAGGAACACTGTGTGAAGTGCTCCAGACAGCAAATACACAAGCCCAACTTATAAATATAACCTTAGCTGTAACAAACAATTCACTTGTACGTATGTACTGCAATATCAAGTTTCCGAAATAATGTTTTCAGTCATGGGATAAAACATATGAAACAAAAACAACATTTCGAAGAAAATATAATGGAAGAATATCTGAAAAGCACACAAAAAGCACGGGGTTATGCTTGGAATTAGACTGAGAGGCAGAAAGAGAAACTCACGCATCAAAGAACAAACACAAATTATTCATATTGACTTCAAAAAGTAAGTGGACCTGGGGCAGGACACATCGTGAGACGGTTTGATTCGCGGGGCTAGTCAATAGAATGGCAGTCAAATGAGTGAGCATGCCTGAAAGGAATACCACCACGGTGACGGAGCAATGAGATCAGCTTGTGAAGAAGAGCGACATGGATTGTGGATGGCGATGTCATGGAGAGACCTTCGTCTAGCAATGGATAGATTATGCCTGATGATGGTGATGATTTTTTTTTTCGATTTAAAGCTTTCGTGACTGCAGGGATTCATCTTCTTGGTTCTTTCGGTAAAGTCACGTAGAAGGGTCTGTCTCCCCGACAGACCTGGTCTTCACCTGAGGACGGCTGCTTGCGTTGTGGCCGAAACGTCGTGAGAATTATTTTATTGTTTTGTTTTTATTATTTTATTACTTCCCTTCTACGTGACTTTACCGAAAGAACCAAGAAGATGGTGATGATGTATCACAAGTATTTAAAATTTGCAACAGCAAGGCTGCCGATCCCTCTGATCTTAGCGAGGGTCAGCCCACCACCCCACACCCACTCTGAGACGATCTCTTGCGTGCTGCTGAGCTTCGGGTAGCAGCAGCCCAGTGAGTGAGATGCGGTCATTCTCACCGTCACGAATCATCCCAGCCTCGTAGCACTTTCTCAATCGGCACGCCTGGCAGCGTCGCCTTCGCGTCTTGTCTATCGTGCAGTGGTTTGTTGCCGGGCACACAAAATTATTCTTCCCTGCGAAAGAAAAAGAGTCTGACAATCTGTCACCGAAACCGACCGTCCGATTCAGACTGACCTTTCCAAATTCGTGTCATTAGGGTCTGGGGGGGAGGGGGACCTTGTGTTGGATGGATGTTATCGATTGTGGATGGCTGTGTTGTAGATGTATATTGCCACTGCTGGCGTGTGGGGAACTTCCTTACCTTGTACGCTCCGCTTGAAGAAGGCCTTGCAGCCTTCGCACGTCCACACACCGTAGTGGTAACCGGAGGAAAAGTCCCCACAGACGGAGCATAGCTGTGTGGATGGACCTTCGGCTGGGCTCACCAAAACGGCCCGTTCAGTAACACTGTCACTGCCCGCTGAGAGCATGAACGTAGACGTTGGCAACCTAAGTGTAAATGCAAGAAAGTAGATAAAGTCACGTAGGTGTAAAATAAAATAAATCAGGGCGTTTCGGGCGCAACACAAGCGTCCGTCATCAGGTGAGAAAGCATGCGCCCGAAATGTCGTGATTTATTTTAGTTTTATACCTACGTGACTTTACCGAAAGAACCAAAGACAGCCCCTTTTCTGGAGGGCTATTTGACCTCATTACTGCAGTCACGAAAGCTTCAAATCAAGATTAAAGTAGATAAATGTTTAGTCTAATCGGAATGTGATATGCTGCCACAGCCTTGCAATAAATTTGCTGACGCTAGTCTTGTTTAAACGTTCCTCCCTGCACTAGAGGACGCTCTCGACAGCCCCTTCTCTGGAGGGCTATTTGACCTCATTCTTGCACGCCTTGCCACAAGTCTCGAAATAGGTGGGAGTAGCCACATGGTCACCACACGCGACCTGTCATACAGCTTGGTTGACAGGAGCGGTGGGTGGTATTGTTAGAGGCTCGGGGCTTAAAGAAACTTGCCCATTGTTCAACTGCCGCGCCTGGAGAAAGAGCTGGCGACATCTGTAAACGTCGTGATTTATAATTTTATTTATTTTATTATTTCTATTAGTCTTATTATTTATTTTTATTTTTACGTACGTGGCTTTACCGAAAAAACCTAAGAGTATGACATCTGTATTGCAAGTCCAGTTTGCTGACAACAATTACAACGGCGGCAGAATCTCAATATTGTGAGTTACAGTAAAATGTTCCACTATTTGTGATTTAAGTTCACTCGATTCTACAAATAAGTGTGTACAGTAATACGGTTACATAACAGCACACTTGCGGATATTTTGGCCACTCCTATTTAAACATGGGTGAGACATTTCTGACTGATGATGCCCGTACAGTATTTAAAAACTCACAACACAACAACAGAATCTTTCATCATCCTCCTTACCTGCTGCAATGAGACTGTGTGTCACCGAAGGCTGCCACCAGGCCGAGTGGAGACGTCCCAGGTTGGTGCAGATGCTGGGTGCAGCATTCGGCTGAGCAGCATTTGGGTGGCGCTTCGGACATCCAGGACTTGTGTGCAGGCAGCAGGAAAGAAGTATGGGGGTGGCAGGCTGCATCGTATTCCTCTTGCTGCTGCTGCTTCATCCCTGCCAGCGTGGACAAATGTTGACGCGTCATGGGCGGGTTCCTCGGCCAAGTTGGAAGCATTTTATAGCCCTTCAGCAGGCTGCCGACTGTAACGTGAAACCGCTGCCTCTTCTCTTTACAGTAA